AGAGAATAATTAAGTTTACGAATATGATGTAATTTAATTGGTTGATTGTCACATGTTTCACAATTAGCCAATAATAAAGTGTTATTCAATTTCATGTGATGACCACATAATTAGTATTAGGTAATACAGTAATAAAAAAACAATGTATAATAAATAAAATTTAAAAAAAGGATTCTATTGAACAATTTTGCAATATTTATAATACAATCTGTATCAACAACGCAATATATAGGAGGAAGTTCGTCTGATTGGCTGATGTAGATCAATTGCCCGGGTAACTTATTTATACACTTCCGGTCAAAATCTTGGTTCATCATTTCTTGTCGAAAGACAAATTTCCTTAGATCTGCCGTTATCTCCTGTTCAAGAATAACATATAAGTACCAAAAAAAGAAGACAATCTGAGAAAGAATTTACATAAAACTTTACCAGCCGAAAACTGTTAAGATATTCAAGCAGTTCATTTGGCATGGTTGGTAGTGGCTTTGCTCGAAAACTCTGAATTTCCTCAAGCTCTTCTTCCGTAAAGATACCTTCGTTTAAATAATTCTCATCATACGGGTCTATGATAAATGAATGGGATAGACTAAATAAAAAAAAAATAATTTCATAAGATTTTATAATATAAATATGCACAAACAATATAAAAACTTACTGTTCATGAACACATTTTAACCACTTGATAAAAATTCTCTACATATGTCTTTGACTTTAAGCGAAAGAGACTTGAAGAAAGTATAGGCCCAAAATTGTATAAATTATTCTCCACGATGGTACCAGTACTCAACTCCCATTTTTTCGAAGATTCCATGCTATAAAAGACTTTTCTGAATTTTTCGTAGTCTAATGCTGTCATATGCTTACGCTTATTATCGTCTTCGTCTTCATCATCGTTTATACAGGGTGATTTCTATGCAAAAACGAACCATATTGCTATTACTATAAACTAAATATATATTTTTTTTTAAAAAAATAGTTACTTCGTCTTTTTTCTTATCTTTCTTGGTTTTACCTGCTTATATATAAAAACAATTTGGAATTTAGTTAACAAGTTGTCTTTGTCAATCGCTATAAAAAAAAAACAAATATTATTTCGTCTTTCTGTTTATTATTTTTCTTGGTTTTTTTTGAAACATTCTCTTTATTTGTCTAAATACAACAAACATTTAGTATCTTTGCCAATCGCTATATTCTATATACAGTAACAAGAAGATAGAAAAAACTTAGTAACTACATTTTCTAGGGTGCGTCATCGTTTACGTTCCTTTGACAATAGAAAAATCAAATTAATGAAGTGTTCATTAAGTAAAATATTTTTATAATGTACAGCAAGCGTAAATTTCTTAATAAGGAATGTAGCCGATTCTTCCTTTAGAATCAGTAGAACTTATTAAAGAAACTTCGTTAGGCGATATTCTAGTGGCCTCAATCGAATATGCAAATCGAACAGAATCACCCTTAGGTCTGGTTTTTCTAGTCTTCTAGTGGGATTTGTAATAGTAAAAGTTCCTGTTACACTATTAATTTTGCTTCTAATGGCCTTCCAGTGGTCTTCCAGTGCCAACATTGCCTTAGGTGACCTCACAAAGGTTTCTTTGCGGCCTCGAACGATTACATAATGAATGGAATCACTCTTGCAATATTGTTCTGTACATGTTACACCTTTTCACCACAACGAACAAATTACTCAAGTGACCTCACGAAGGAACCCAACGGAAAAGAGCTCGCTTGTCTATTACTAAAATATGTTTACCTCAACATCTTTAGAAGGTTTTTTACGTATATGAGCGAGAGAAGTTGACATTTTTGCCATTTTCAATTACCAAAACTTTTTGAAAAAAAAAGCAATGTAAACTAGCTATTAATATAGGAGTGCATATACCACCCAAAATAGAAATGATCATCGTTGTTTTGTTTTTTATCGATTCACGCATGGCCCGTGTCCTTTGACTAGGGTTAGGGGCACAGGGCACGAGGCATGCCTTTCGGGCATGCCTCCTGGGCATGCCTCTAGGCATGCCCTTTTTCAAAAAATTTATATATGTAAAAAATTGTCACTTAAAAAATTTTGGGGGCATGCCTATAGGGCATGCCTCTAAATCAAAAAAACCAGAGGCATGCCCATGGGGCATGCCCGAAAATTTTCCCGTGCCCCCAACCCTACCTTTGACTAGAGATGTTACCGGGTCAGAAAATTGTAAACCGGATCAAAGTAATTTAGGTCAAGGGTCAACTCGGGTCAGTATAATACCATATAATACCATATAATACTATATAACTAACAATATGCCCCAATTTATTATAGCTCAGAATCTTAGTATTATGCCAATGGTATAATACGGTATCAGGTATAGTAAAAACCCTAGTAAAAACCCTAGTCATAACCCGGGTCAACGGATCAAATAGGCAAAAACCCAAATCTGATTTTTCGCTACAAATTAACTAAAGTCGAATAAATAATACTAAGATTGCGCAGGACTAGTATAATAAAAGGACTAGGCTTAGTTAATTGCCAGATTAATAAAGTTCGAACAATTAACATCTCCATAAAGCAAGGGTGTCTTAATCAATGGCCCCAAAATGTGCCAAGAATTAAATTTTAATTAGCAAAAATTACTTTTATCCAATTAAAAAACATGCTTGCTACGTATTAAGATAAATAAGGGCAGAACATTTAGTTTAAACATAAATAAAATTTTAAATAATAAAAAATATTCGAAGGGTTTTGTAATTCCGATCAAAAAACTTTTTACCTCAAATCATCTTTGTTTTACACTGGTTTATCCAATTTTACAAATATCAATGAAATAAATACAGTCAAACCCCTCTATAGTCACCTCCTCTATAGTCACAAAATTAATATAATTACTAATTTATTTTTACCAATTATTTATAACAATATAGAAAATACCTCTATATTAGTCACATCTCTTTACAATCATGGTTTTTTGTATCCCAAAGGTGTGACTATAGAGAGGCTTGACTGTAGTTTATCGTTTTTTATAAATCTTTGTTATATTGATAATAATTAATAACAACAGAATTGATATAAACTAGTCAAGAAGATTTTTGAGAATGCTCTAAATTCTTGTAGACAAATTATAATCCCAATAAAAGGCTTAAGTAATTATTAGTAAAAGGCCTTCATCAATTGTATTTTTTTGTTGAGATTATTAAATGTATTGGGCTTTTTTTACTTTTATTAAATATAGAAGACTTGAGTAATAATTAGTGAAAAGCCTCCATTTTGTATTTGAGTGCTGCTAGAGGAAAACTTGTCATCAGACTTTTAATTATATTTTATATTGGACACAATCTCTAACAAATTAAACTGATTTTGTCTGTATAAAATATAATTGAAAGCTTGATAGCAGATTTTCTCTTGATATAGTGCTAAGTAGAAAGTGCAGAACCAATCATAATTAGCATGAGTAATGTAATCATTGTGATAATGAAAGTCTTTTATATTAATTATTTAAGCAGCTTGCAGCCTGAATTATATAAATTTATATAAACTTATACTAACCTTTTTTTGATCCAGGTCAACCTGATAATGACTTGTGACTAGGGTGTTAAAAATCCAGTCCTATCGGTCCTGACTTCACAAATAAAGACTTTGATTGGGACTTGGTCTTTGAGTCGGTCCTTGTGCCAAGTTTGCATATAATAATATGATTACTACCTATAATACCATCACTATATAGATAACGATAACAGTAATTTATATCTTGAACCTTTATTATACTTTTTTTACTACTATTGCTAAAAAAATATATATATATACTGTAAAAATGATTTTATTCTACATTTATTTTTAGGATTCCCGCCTCAGACCAACTCTTCATACATAAAGAGGTTCTTGTTGATTCTTTAAGAAGTCTGCTTCTCTCAAGATTTAACATATATTTGGCTACGGAAAATGTACGTTCACAGGGAATACTTGTAACTTGCAGTGCAAAATAATTAGCTGTCATTAAAGCTATATTTGGAAAGTGGTGGGTTTTTGTTTTTACCACCACAGTAGATTAGTGCTCAGTTCTGGAGGTAGCAAAAGATAAGTAGATAGTTCGTTTGTTGTAATCTCCTTATTTTCATTTGATCTTCCCAGATTCTGAAAATACTCTAAAGAACTTGTTTAGGCTTTATTTCCTTTTTATTTATGTGGTGAAGAGAATAAAAATTTTTTAGACTTTCAATAGCCAATTGACATTCTTCTTCAGTAAAGGCTTCAAACTTAATAAATGAATCAAGAAGAGTTGAAATAGCTGAAGATTGCGAGAGATAAGTCCAGTAATTTTTTATTTTTTTTGTTTTTTGAGCTGCATCACGATATATATATATTTGTTTTTTCAATATAGTAGTCGAGATGTATTAGAAGTCCTTGAAAAATTATTCGTAATGAACTGTGCAAAGGTAATGAAGTTTTGGATAATTCTAGTATTGCTTTGTAAAAAGGTTCAAGAAACTAAATAATTTCCTTAACTATTACCCAATCTTCAACTTCTAAATAGTCTTCTTTTAAAGTAAAATGAAGTCTTACAAGATGATCTATAATATCTTGAATTTCAATAAATCATTTCATCATGAGATAAGTAGAGTTCCATCTTGTTTTGACGTTAAGCTCAGGGCAAAAAAATTGATGATTATAAATAGCAAAAATTCTTTTAATCTCATTCACAAGTGAAGTAGAATTTCTAATCTTATTACAGATACACTGTATCTTTTTTATCTGTTTGTTATAACATTTTTGGCTATCTTTAACCGCAAGGTTCAAAATATGTATAGTATACTGTATATATGTGAACTTCAAACTAATATAATTTTTAAGATAACTTAAGCATATTTGGTTATTAGAATCATTATCTTCAGTAAACCTTATTACGAAATAGATTAATATTAAAATATTAAAGTTTTTATATATAATATAGTACTTACCATTATTTTATCTTTGATCTCTAGATCTTCTATAACCTCAAGTATTTTTCGTCAAGATACATATTAGTATGAGAGTCATACAAGAGTATAAAATCAAGGAGAAGAGTTTTCATTACCCACTCCACATCGACCTAGTAAATAGTAATATCAAGAAATTGTTGTTTATTACATGCCATTCAAACATTGATGGTAAGTGCTAGTTTGCTACGATTTAATTTTAATATATGTTTTATCTCTATTCTTATAGATTCAAACTTATTTTTAAGAGTTGTAGAGACCGTTTGATGGCATAGAAGCTTGTATCATAGATCAAAATTTGTAACAAATTTAATAAAAGGATCTTTATTGACTATCAAGAAGGGAAGTTGATTTTTAATTATTAATTGATATAGATTGTGATTTAAAGATTTTATGCGATCTCTGCTAACTTTATCAGTCGTTGAATATGTAGAATGGATAACTTTCGCATTTTTTCATTTAAAATCTTGATAGAGGCTTGGATGCTTGCTTTTAAAATGGCATAATATTGTCGACAAAGATGTATCTAGACCTCATTGACTGGGTTTCTTAATGTTAGGAATATTAGAACATATTTCACAAATGTAGGTTCCATCGTCAAGTACTTCTAGATAATCATAAATGGGTGATGGTCTTTTTTTTGAATTGTTTTTAATAACTTTATTAATAGAATCATTTTCTAAGTAACTTTCATGAAGGTTTTCCTCTAGAAGATTAAAAATTGAAGAAACAGAATTGGAAATTTCTGAAGAAACAGAATCGAAAACTTCTAAAGACATAGGATTAGATATTGGAAAAGTAGAATTGAGAGTTAAATAAGTGGGTAAGTTGAAGTCAGACATTAGAAAGATTTATAAGAAAACAAAATTTGATGTATATGTTTTTAAAAAAAATAAAATAAAA